AAATGAAGCGTCGGATTTTGTGTGGGGCTCTGTGGTTTTTCTTTTACTATAATTGGATGATATTCAGTGGTGTCGGATTTCTCCATGTTGTCTGTACTAGGGCCGAAGCAGGCACGGGACTTGTCCGGACCGATGGTCATCTCAGCTACGACGATCCTGCGAGGCTAAATCTAATCCCGTCGTGACTCCATACGTAGGTTTGCTCCAATCGATGATTCCATTACGAATCCGTACCCACTGTCTCTCTAGATGGTGATCTTGATTACTTCAAAATGAGAACGAATGCCTGTCGGGCGAAGTAGACGTTGGTCATACCCAGAACCAATATTCCCTCTGTAACGGCGATCGTCCGAGGCCAAATTTAACCCCTGGGACGACTACTGGTCACTTGCGTAGCACAATGCAAATTCGAGTCTGATTCATAGCTAAGCCTGTGCCTGCCTGGATTTCTTCCTTCTATGTCTTATACCTACTAAATCCCCTACCAGGTTCGTCTGCATGCCCTTTCTCTCCTTGGTACATCACCCCAGCTGTATCAGCATCCGATCCACCGGATTCATGGCGTAATCATAGTGAAGCTGCCATATTATGGGTACACTGTCCCGGATCCAAGCCACTTCAATCCACCGTACTGCAAGTGTACACTCATCATGGATCTGATTACTCTAATCATTCATCACCACATTACGCGTGTCTGTAGTCTCTATCGGCTCACGAAAGTTCGAGATCCATTGGCCCCACCAACCCTATGCCACAGATAGTCACTCTGTGTGAGATCCCCCATCCGTTGGATCCTGACTTGGGAGGGTGGTAGTTGGAACATCTAGAGGTAGGTTTGACCTCTTCATCCGTCATCAATGCCAGGTCCCCCTTCGGATGGCGTCTACGCTCCTTCCTCCTTAGGATCCCCACTCTATCCACCCGTACATGGTGGATCCCATATCCCCTAGGCGTATTCGGGCGAGGGTGGATCCGAGCCTCCACTTGGTGGATCTCAGTTATACTGCCATCAACCGTGTTCCTCCTGTCATTCTTCTTTCTCTTAGCCACTGTTATCCTCCCGATCCATCATCTGGTATCTCTTATTCCAGATTCACACAGTCAATGTATTTAGAATACGGCTCCAGGTACTTCATTCATGGACTGCCAATCAACGGTTTCGTCCCACTTCACCTACGCCATCTAGAGATTCATTGTGATAGTTGCGATCTTAGATTTGCTTCACACCGATCTAATCCACTTCAAGCAGTCCAGATCCACTCTAGCTACCGGGTGCCGTCACTAATCCGTGATAATGACTCCTCGTTGGATACCATCTCTCATTTCTGAGAAAGCACTTCACCACAACCGCTTGAATGGGATGTGTACCAGGCGTGCATGCACTACTGCTCACGGGTCCTTACGAGTTGTCGCAACATGACACACTTCGTCCCCCACTGTCTTCAGCTTGTAGACGTTTCCACAGCGCTTGGCCTCCATGGCCGTTGTATCGCCATAGCAGAAAATACATTTGCTCTTGCTGAACTGCGCGACGACATCCTTCTCGGCCCGATTGGACACTGAGATGAGGCTTCCTTCAGCTTCTGGGATGTACAGGACATCTGACAATGTGACGGACGTTCCATCCATCAGCTTTAACCCGACGGTGCCTGTTGCAGCTGCGTCGATCTTCGTGCCATCCTCATTCGTGACACGTATTGGCGTCTTCAGGTCCATCATGGGCACGAACGTGTCCTGGACGCTGGTCATGTGCGAACTGGCATCTGAGTCGACGAGCCATTCCGATTTGGCCATCGCACCCGCAGTCGTGAATCCGAAGTCTGAGACTTGAGCTTCCGCCACATGACCACGTCCTTCGTCGGCTTTCTTATTCCGGCGCTCAAGCGCCTTGTGCTCTGGCTTCTTGCAGTAGAAGCGCTTGCCACCTAAGCGACGCTTGTTTCCGAAGTATTTTCTCTTCGTTGCAAAACTCCCTCTCCTGAACCGATGACGATTTATCCGAAGCTTCAACACCAGAGAGTGTTTGGATCGCATAAGCGAGTGTCACGTTGGGAGTGTTCTCCAAAACAGTCGCGATCATACGGTACTTCTCGGTTAGACTTCCGAGTAGCAGCACGAGCTGCCGAGACTCGTCCAGGGATTCACCGATTGACTCCATCTGGAGTACCAGCTCCTTGGACTTGTCCACATGGACAGCGATCTTCGTACCGGGCTCCATCTTGACGCTGTCTAGCTTCATCGTACCGATGAGCCGGTTCCTAAGCGTCTTCCGGTTGAAGTGCACCTCGAGCTGGGTTCACGCGTCAGCGGCAGTCAGCGCTACACGGATGTAGACTTGGTACGTGGGACTCACGTCTCCAGAGATAACATCAAGGGTCTTCAAATCGTTGGTCTTCCTTTTGGCCTTGGAGCGATCACTCACTTGATCGATCTCGGCCTTGGTGATCTGCGGGGGCAGCTCAATCCGGGCGAGCTTAATCCGCATGCTTACGCCTAGTGGAAGTAGCTGTTTTTTACGAGCTTGTCGATACTGTCAACGTAGCTTGGGCTCATAGCCAATTTAGAGTAGAAGACGATGCGAACGAGGCTTGTAGTCGATGTACGTCGATAAATGGAAATTTGAAAGTGAGATAGGTTGAGTTAGAAGTCTTAGTATCTCTTTCTGCCTCATACATGCAGTCCCTAGTAGATATGGTTTTGGATAATACGAGTAAAAATGTCTAAAAGTATCTAAAATGTTTTAAACAGTTTTGAAGTGTCTGAAATGTTTAAGATTTTCTAACGCCAGTGCAAGCAGAAGCGAAGCACTTTCAGAGCACAGTGTCGAGCAAACAATCCTCCCTGCTCGCAGTCGGAGTGCGTGCCACGACCAATGACACCGGCCAACACAGCCGACCCCAACCCCCCCCCCCAGCAGGCCACCACCCCGTTGCCATCACAACAAGATACGCCACGATCTTCGAAGCTAGAAAGCAAGCGCGTTCCGATAGTCCTCAGGCGGACACTGAGACGATCGCCTCGATATACTCCCTATCGTGCGGGAGGTCCTTACTTAAGCCCGTCTGAGCCAACACCACGGTCTTCTGTAGCAACAGAGCAGATGGCTTCTCGCCCCAGCCCCTTGCATCAACACCATCGCGACCTTCCCACTTTCCAGACCCGCCGAGACGATCCCAAGCATCTCCACTTAAGACACGACGCCCATTGAGCGAGAGAATGGAAAGAAACGCAGGCGCTTTAAATACTGTGGTGCCCTAAAGAAGAATGGGAAGCCCAGTGGTAACCTGTTAAACCATCTGAAGAAGCTAACCAGTGTCCGAATATCCCTAGAGATGTACTGGCGTCTCTAAGGACTCCTGAAGTGACTCAACCAGCTCCGGCATCTGTCACAACACCATCACCCACAACAAGCGAGCTGACACAAGATGCCTTCGAAATCGTACTCGCGAAAGGTTTTTTGTGTGTGCATTACCATTTATTCTTGTTGAGGCGCCAACTTTTCGGCAAGGTTTTGGTAGTCCCAACAATGAAACTTATCTCTCGACACAAGCTCAGTGGAGTTCGCTTGAAACGCGTTCGAGATCAGATCGGGCGGGACCACGTTATCAAATTAATCAATGAGTATGCCCACATCTCACGCGTCACCGATGGATGGAGGGATTTTAACAGTTGCAGTATTATTAGTTTTCTGGTAGTTGCGCCTGGGATGACGTCCGTCTTTTGGTCGTCATGGTCCACACGATCTAAGCAGCATACGACACAGTACCTTGCCGGAGCGATCGGGAAATATATTACGTAGAAAGAGCGGGCCACAAGTGGAAGGGTCGTCGCAGTCGTAGCTGAAAATGCCCCAAACATGAAACGTGCGTCAGGTCGCATTCATACCAGTCGGCCGTGTGTCGTAACCGGGGGATGATCGGCTCAGGTACTTAATCTACTGATGCTGGATATGTATAAGTTACCTGTCATTCGAGCAATTCAGTCGCGGGTGGCTGCCCTAACACGATTTGTAAAGGACCACCTAGCACTTCTTGCCGGATTAAAGCTGCTACAACATTAAATTCGCGAAACGGGCCTTATTATAGTGCACGAATCTTCGTGCTGCCAGTTCCTACACGCTGGTATTTGGTGTAGGCATGCTTGAGAAGTGTGTGAAATAGTCAGGAAATACTCGAAACAATATTTTTGAGTCCTGACTATGATGTCGCGATCTCCTTCTCTTGTCGGGGTCGTGTATCTTATAAAAGACGACGTAGGAACTTAGACGTAATAAATGAGTAAAATGTACTTGTTTCTTATTTCTTTTTCTTGAGCACTTCTCGTATAAGAAGGAAATGAACGACTAAGAGCTCCCTCATCAGCTCTCCAACTTACCAAAGTACCTCCTACCAGCTCTAGTACTTCTAGTCGTAGATTGTGAACAGCACCAGCGCTCCACTGTCTGAACCTTTTCATTCCATTTTAGACCAAGGACGAGGTAGCTGGCGACGGAGAACGGGACTGATCGGGCCTGACATTCTTCGTACGCCGCTCGCTAAATTGCCGCAGGCAGTCGTCCAGAATAGCAAGACCTTCTTATAGCCGAAGACCGTGACAATGAGCAATACTGGATCCCATTATTGCTGCTTTACGAAAGCTCGAAGCAGATGGCGTGTTTGTTTCGGGGGATTAAGTGGCTCAGATGGCTTCGCTACCATTCAGCATACGGCGTCACATCACCGGAGAAAGAAGAAGAACAACCGGAAGTGAATGATCCAAATAATTTACGAGTAAGACATCAATCTGTTTCTCAAGAAGATATTGGGATTTTGAGTGATGCTGCCGAGCGTGTAGTCACTACATATTCTGCTGAAACTGAATACCAAACTACATCACCAGACGAGGAGAGACTGTCTGCTGGACACTAGTAAAAGAATGTAGCCACTCTTCCTTTAAGGGAGCTCCAAATTTACTTCCGCCAAAAGATCAAGAAAGGTTGGAGCTATGTCCACACAAATGTCATGGGTATTGGTTTCATGCTCGATCCAGCAATGGATCTCGACGACTTTGAAGGTTGCGATGATGACAACGTAGATGAGCAAGTCCGCGAAATGGCGAAGCAGTGTGGCTTACGCACACCCACCACCGGAGTACCAAAGCTAACAGCCGAAGCTCTTAAGTTCAAGAGTGTGAAGCGGCGTGGTGGAGACATGCTGCGAGAGCCGTATTCGATGTCAAGACCGCGGGACTACTGGAGCGCAACGAGTGACACAGAATTTTTGTTGCTAAAGAAAAAAGCAGAAGTTGTCTTCGCAATTCCTACGTCGCCAGCGGCCAGCGAGCGAGCATGGAGTGTATTTAAACATATACACTCCAAGAGACGATGCAGACTCTCGGTTGATAAGGTCGAAATGCTGGCCTACATCTACATCAACCACGGCACCATTAGCAAAGATAAGGTAGATCTTGCGCGTCATCGATCGCGACCCGATAGTGTAATTAAATAAATAGATATATCCCATCAAAGTGTGGAGTGATTATTTGTGAATCGTTGTATAGATTTTGATACTGAACGTTGTTCTATCGAAATACCTGGTGATGGCAAATTGCGGGCGGGTGACCACCATTGCATGCGGCGGAAACTACAACAGGCAGGTGCACTTCATTTAGTTGAATTTCTCGATTGACCGCAGATCTCTGCTATTCTTCTGCCGATATATATCTCAACATTCATATAAATAGCGCTGCCACGCCCCACCGTCGTCCGCATCATCGCATCCGGGCCTGACTGGAATCTCAAATTAGCCTTGTTTAGCGATCATTCGTGCTGAGTTTAGTAAACGGTACCCAAGAAAATCGCGTGTACCCCAGCGTATTGCCGCGCTACTTGACCATATCCTGCACAGCCAACCACGACAGATCCACCTGATTCTTCCACTCGACCGATCTATACTCTCCGCCACCAGAACGGTGGCATCGACAGTGTTGAAGCCACCACCACCTTCTCGATGATGGTGGTCATCTATGCCATCGTTGCGCACACCGTCGTGTTCACAGCTCTAATGTTGGGCAGTATCAAGATAATTATCTTGATATTCTTGCTATTCGCCACCCGTTAGAAAATGACAGCACTGCGTAGGAATAATATGACTCTGGGAAGGAACGATATTACTTTCGAGTGCTTTTTTTAGGAAATCGAGTGCACCGTTAGTTTTTTGTTCAAAAGGTGGGAAACCGAGTGTCCCTTGTTCAACTTGAGGGAACGACCGAGTGCACTGCTGAGGTTAAGGCTTGAGCACGGAAGAAGATGCGTCAAGGTTCTGCCTTCATTAGTTCAGACGTAGCTAATGTAAGCTACATGTTGCAGCAACGATAAGCAGGCGTTCGTCCTACCGCGAAACGTTGCGGGGGACAACGCAAAATCGCTAGAGCACTCTTCATTGATGCACCCGACTGCCGCACGTTTTCGATTCCATCCCTGGAAAAGAAGTTGATGAAGAAACCTCACTATCCTTATGGCTGGCAGATAGCAAAGGATTTTGCCGTTGTCGTCAACGGAGAAGAGGAAGACATCAGCATGATTGGCACAATTCAAGCCTACTCAAGTCGGGGTGGTAGATATAGATGGCTTGTCGACTTCGAGAAGGCAAGCAAGTCTTCCTAGAGTGCCAGGAATTGGTGCAGCTGATCGTAGAATCAAGACGTACTGGCCTCGATGTTACGAAGAGTGCTGCCGCCCACGCAAGCACACACGAATCGCATCCCCGCTGTGTCGACCGTGACGCCGACGACGATCAGGACTTGGACAGCTAAGACGATCAGGAGTGACAGTTGGCATTGAGCATGTGAGCGTAGGACTGGACTAGCGGAGCTCAGCGTACCTTGTGTAGGAAGTGAACCAGGATCCAAGACTCATTCATGTTTTCTTCTCACAAATAAGGTATTTTTCTCCTCTTACATCCTGGTGAGCTCTGCATCCGGCCCCAAGGACAGTGTAGTAAATTCAAACAAGCATGGACCGGACAAGACAAGTATAGAGCCGACGATATCGCCATGTGTTATCTGCACTCGGCATTCCGCCATTTCGTGGCAAAAATGTCTGCACTCGAAAACCCCTCAACGTGCACTCGAATACCATCCGCGCCCCTCTGGGAATTGATACCATTCTCTCGTCTAATCACTGGCTTGAGCTCGCTAAGACCTTAGCGCGGCACCATCGGTATTCTAGCATGATGCTCGGCTACACCTTATCTGTGTACTTAGTCAGTGGAGTCAAAGCCAGTAAGAGACAACTCCTGAGTAACTCATTGCTCATCGTGAACGCTGAGTACTTCTCTATAATCAGCGAAGCTCCGAGCAGAATGACGGGCGAATCGTTCATCCAACTCTCTTTCTCTCCCTTGATGCTTTTCAAGGTCGTGACGACCTTACAGGTTGCGCTGACATTGGCACCTGTCAGTATTGTTTGGCTATTCTCCACGCTGGTCCCACACCTAATCAATTAAGTAGGCGGCATGCTCGCGTCCAGATGAGGCCGCTGTGAGTGTGCTAATACCTTCAGCTTCATGCACTTCCGCTTGAACGCACGCTGCTGTGCTCTTATCGCCGAGGTGCCAACGTCGTCAATGTCGAAGCTGCTACCGGTAAAATGCAGGATAGTATGCACGCCTGTGAGGAATACAAACTGTATTCTATCTGATATTTTGAGAGTTATTTGAGTTTTGGACGATATTTTGGACGTTTTCCCAAAGTGTTTTAGACAGTATTAAGCTAATCCAAAACCATCCCTAGTCCCTAGTGCCCTCCTTCCATCGTCGCTAAGTCCGCGTATACAGATTGTATACTCGGACGGACATACCTATGTGGGACGGACACGCTTGGGTGAGACGGACACACCTGTATACAATGTACCCGCCACATGTCACGATTGTCCTTCCGTAGCAATTGTAGTTGCGACCGATCACACTTCAGGATATCAAATGATCTGTCAATCAGGTTGCACTATTCCTGTCACTTCAGCTGTAGCACGCATTCGGTACGCGCAGGTGTGTGTCAAGCAGTATGCATCTAGACGAGTAGACAGCGAAGTGCAACTATAACGGTTTTGTGGAAAAACTCTGTAAAGTTCATTAATTAGAAGGTATAGCTGAGAAGCACACCTACGACACGTTTTTGATGACATTTTAAGGTTATATAAAATAGGTAGCCGTACTGTAACGGGGTACGTAGCCTCAAGTGTACCCCTAGTTACATGAAGTGTGACATGTCACACTTCGTGATATCTGGTACATGGTACCAGGGTCGTCCGAGGCCAACCATTGGCTGATGACATAGATTTTCTAAAGGTGACTTATATTTTGTATATTTAACTCAAGCTTAGCCTATCTATAAATATATTTAGTTACAACTTACCTTAAATTGGTCTCTTCGCTCCCTTAGGCAAAAAGGGACCTGTGAACTGCCGTTCACTGAGAGTTTGTATAATCTCGGAAGCCAACTTCCTCTAGCGCAAGGTGCTGTGTGACCCTGTCACACTTGGTAGCACTCCTAGTCAATCCACGCCACCGCGGGTAGACTACCTGAACCTCTCCGAAGTTCGTTGCTATGGATAGGAACGACTTCTCCCATCTGAACGACTCACAGTTCGAGTCGGTTCGGAAGATGGCTGGCATCTTGGGGATGAAGGCCCTGCAGAGCCTGCTGGCGTCAACACCGGCCGAGCAGCTCGAGCGCGTCAATGCGTTTGACGCTTACGAGCAGGGGCTCATCGCACATGTACGGGAAAACCTGCAGGCTCCGGCGGCGGAAACTAACCTTCCACACCCGAAGTCAATACGACTGAAGGTGAAGCCGTGTGAAGGGAAAGAAGGAGAGAGCCTTCACTTCGGGTTCCGAGAAGTAGAGCTCGCGATGGACGCGGCTCTGATCTTGACCGAGAGTCGGTCCAAGCTCGCGTCCGCGGCTGCCCTAGCAGTTAAGCACCCTTGAAGCGGCGATTCAAGTGGCTCTTCAGGAAGAGTACAGCCATCGCCAGGCGCGTACGCCGGCCTCAGCGTGGCCTGTGAGTTCCTTGTCGGCTCCCGGTCGAACAAGCCCCAACGGACCAGTTCCCATGGAACTCGGGTCCGCCGAACAGCGTGACATCCGCTGCTTCGGCTGTGGGAAGATGAGCCACTTCAAGCGCGACTGTTCCGCGGAAAGACTCCGCAGACGGTCCTTCCCCAAGCCCGTCCTCAAGGGTCGCTGGCAGAAGCCAGGATCCCGGGGACAGGGGAACGCAGGGAACCAGTAGGGGCGGGGCGCCCTACTGGGGAAGAACTAAGTCTTCGTGATGGGTGCGCGGGTGGCGCGTACCACGGGGACTTAGCCCCTGAGAGTCTTCGCACTCTCGAATCGGCGAAGAGCAGCGGCGGGTTGCTCGTAGTACACGGATGTGTACGGGGAAACGATCATCCCTTAGGAATCTTGATTGACTCTGGGGCGTCGAAGAATTTCGCACGCCGCCAGACGGCTGTTCGTAACAGCAACAAGTTGTCCGATGCTTTGAGAGAAAGCAAGGGCAACGGGACGGTGTCAGTGCGACTGGCCGACGGGAAGGTCGTCACTGTCCCCAACGTCCAAGTGGATCTGGCCGTCCAGCTCGAAGACTTCGACAGCCCACAACAGTTTACTGTTTTCGACATGGAGCCCTACGATTTGATCCTGAGCATGCCCTGGCTCGAGAAGCACGAGCCCCAGAACGACTTGCGAGGCAACGCAATCGGTGCCTGCCGCCCTGCGAAGTCCGACAGAGCATTGGTGAGTCAAGTTCCCACCTCTGCCAGGTCCCGGGGCGCACGCAAGGGCTGCCAGAGTACCGAAGCATCCAGCAGACGCTTGGGAGTTGTCAACGTATATGACGACTACAACGACGCTTCGATGGTGGTGGCACTAGGAGGCGCTGGTCAAGTGGGTAACTAAGGTCCACAAGTAGGTAACATAATTCCGCAGACAGCTGCGGTTGTCACGATCACTGGTAATAGCGTGTACAAGGTGAGTAACAGAGCTCCACACACGGTCGCCCAGACCTGAACTGAAGAGAAAGCCGTCGGACATGCTTCCTGCGTTGGTAACACAGTACCACATGAGCTCACCCAAAGCATAACTGAAGAGGAAGACGCGGGGTGCGCTTCCTGTGTGGGTGACACAGTACCACACAAGGCCTCGAGTGCCTCGGATGTCGGAACCACGACATCCCCGGACGCGGGTAACAAAGTTCCACGTCACGGTCGCCGTCGGCGATGACGTCGCTTCAAGCGACTCGGAGTCCAGGGCCCGGTCTCCTCCGACAAGGCCGGTGGAAGAGTGTTATCACATCTTCGATGGCGAGACCGGGTTACCCGCCAAGGCATCTGGTGTCCACCTGGAACATTTTCCAGAGGTTGCAGAGATACTGAACCTCGCGGAAATGGCGTTCGAGTCTTTCCTGACCAGCCTCAGGTATGGGGAGGTTGCCGAGATGGTGCTC